TTGTTGTTTGAGTCGATAATCATATTTCAAAAGTAAATTTTTTATTGAAAATGAGTTATTTAAGAATGCTTTTACATTCAAACGAAATTTTGGACTAGAAGCACTTCCATAATCATTCTCAAACAATACCAAAATCTCATTCATCGTGAAAAATCAGATTTAGATCATATTAACTATATACTAAATTTGACAATTTTAAATATATGTATAATACGAAAAATATATAGTATAAAATATGATAATTATTGATAGAAGTAAATGAATTTATTTATTTGCAACTAATTTATTTTTTATTTTAATAGAGAGATGCGATCAATTGAAAATGATTGTTGTTCAATATTTAGGTAAAGAAAAAGTTTGATTATGAAATAAAAGAAAAAGTTAAAAAAAAAAGTTGTAAAAGGTGTCAACTCCTTTATCAATATTTATTTAGGATATTTATAGTGATTTTTAACATGTATATCAATCGAAATATTATGATGACTATTTTTAAGTTTATCAAGTTAGAAAGATATGGTGATTAGATCTTGAAATTTATTACGATAAATTATGTCGAATATCTGTCTAAGTATTGTCTATACATGATAATAAGCTTGTGGGTATGTGATTAAAGAACACAAGTTCTAAGAGATTTCAGTAAGCACAGAGGTATGAATGAAGGTCATTTATTGATTAAATGACAATAGATTCAATACGACGGAAGTTTGAAGTTTTTTTGTGTGAAGATGTTTCTAAAGTATAACAATAATGTATAACTAATATAATTATTATATAAATATCATATTAATTCGGTTAATATTATTATTATTATTATTATTACATTTTAAAAATAAAAATTTAGTTACATAAATATAATTAACTTTTATTTAAAAATTGAGACAAGGATGAAATTATAAAGAAAAAAAGTGGGGGGGTTAACACGGAAATATGAAAACCAAAACCTAACAAGTAATTAAGAGACAACAGTTTTTTGAATCGTGGTTGGGACTACGATTTGGTAATGAGAAGTTAATTAACTAATGGATCTCGAAAACTTTGATATTTTGATTTGATTTGGTGATGGAATATCGGAGGTAGCAATGTTATTCGAAACAACAACTTATGCCTATCGTTGTGGTCCAGTGCCAGTGATGGGCTCTACGCAAGTGGGTGGTACAAACTGCATTTTTACATGGAGACTTGGATGAGGAAATCTACATGACTCAACCAGATGGATTCAAAGTTGCTGAAAAATAAGAGATGGTGTGTAAATTAGAAAAATCGTTGTACGGATTGAAGCAATCTCCAATGCAGTGGTACAAGTGATTTGACAAGTTTATGATAGGACAGAAGTACACAATAAGCAAATATGATCATTGTGTGTATTTACGCAAGCTACAAGACAGATCCTATATATATTCTTCTTTATGTTGATGATATACTGATAGCTTCCAGGAGTCGGACATAAATTGCGAAACTAAAGACTCAATTGAACAGAGAGTTTGAGATGAAGGATCTTGGTGAAGCGAAGAAGATTCTAGGCATGGAGATATCAAGGGATAAGAAATTGGGGAGGCTTTGTTTGTCTCAGAAAGAATATCTGAGGAAGGTACTAAAACGTTTTGGCATGAATGAGAAGTCAAAACCAGTTAGTACACCTCTAGCTCCTCATTTCAAGCTCGGTGCATCTATGTCACCTAAGGATGAAGCAGAATGGGAATACATGTCAAAGGTTTCGTATGCAAGTGTTGTTGGTAGCTTGATGTATGCAATGGTGTGTACAAGACCCAATATTTCACAGGCAGTTGGGGTTGTGAGCAGGTATATGCATGATCCTGGAAAGGAGCATTGGCAAGCTGTGAAATGGATTCTGCAGTATATTCTGAACACCGTAGATGTTGGTTTGGTCTTTCAGCAGGACAAAACAAGATGGTCAGTGTGTAGTTGGATATTGTGATTCAGACTATGCAGGTGATTTGGACAAGCGTCGATCAACTACTGGTTATGTGTTTACATTTGCAAAGGCACCAGTCAGTTGGAAGTCCACCTTGCAGTCAACAGTGGCTTTGTCTACTACAGAGGCAGAGTATATGGCAGTTACAGAGGCTGTGAAGGAGGCAATTTGGCTTCATGGGTTGCTTGGTGAATTGGGAATGGAACAGAAGCACACCAAAGTGCATTGTGACAGTCAGAGTGCTATTCATTTAGCAAAGAACCAGGTTTACCATGCAAGGACGAAGCACATCGATGTTCGATATCACTTTGTACGAGAGATTCTAGAAGAAGGTGGAGTTATAATCCAGAAGACTCGGACCACTGAGAATCCTACTGATATGTTGACAAAAGTGGTAACTGTAGTCAAGTTTAAACATTGTTTAGACTTGGTCAATATTGTTACAAATTGAAAGATGAATTTGCAGACACTACTGAAGATTGGATTTTTGATAGATGTGTGTGGAATTTGCCAAGGTGGAGATTTGTTGGTTTTTTGGCAAAATCCCACATTGGTTGTGTATAAGGAGGAGGGGAAATTCTTTTGTTATAAATAGAGCCGTCCTCCTCCTTAGTTTAGCATCCCACAAATATAAGTCTTCTTCACTATTAAAAGCTATTTGTACTCTTTCTCTCTTTATAATATTTCCTCTATTAGAAAAATATTATTTTCGTAGTGTTCGAGGAGGTAGACATAATTTTGGCATAACCTCATTAAATTTTGGTATTCTCTTTATGTCTATTTAATTGATATTGTCGAGTATAGTTTTTTGTTAATTATTGTCCTATTAAAATTACTTGTCTTGATAGTTCTAAGGAAAGTGGATTTTAAGAGGGACCATTGTGACCCCTCCTCTTTCCTAAGAATCTACCTTGGGTGATTTTTAGTACAATTATTTTCACACTAATCACCTAGATAATAGTTTTCAAGATGAATTTGTTATTATTGATGGAAATTAACCCGAATTCCACAACAATTAGAAATAAAAAAGGGGTAACACGGAAATATGAAATCCAAAACGTAGCAAGTAATAAGAGAACAGTTTTTGAATCGTGGTTGGGACTATGATTTGGTAATGAGAAGGTTAATTAACTAATGAATCTCGAAAACTTTGATATTTTGATTTGATTTGGTGATGGAATATCGGAGGTAGCAACGTTATTCGAAACAACAGCCTATGCCTATCGTTGTGGTCCAGTGCCAGTGATGGGCTCTACGCAAGTGGGTGGTTGGCTGAGTGCTTGAATTAACAACATCCCTGCCTCTTTGATTTATTCTCACAAATCACAATCACTGTCGATCAACAGTAGAGCTACTTTTCAGTTCCGCTAATCTAAGCAAGTCATTTAGTAATTTGTTGATTATAATTAACGTCCTTAACAGAGTACTTTTTAACAATTTTGTTAATCAGCCCTCATCTTGACTGATGCTAGTTTTTTGTTACTTTTCTTCTTAGAGGAAGGAAGCTTGGAAAGAAAATGGCGTGACAAAGACAGATGAGAGCAGCAAATTATTTTAAGATAGTTATGAATTGTGAACAAAATATTTTTATTTCATATACAGGTCATTTGATTTAATTTTATATTTAAGAAAATTATAAATATAATTGACTTCACGCGACATGCTCGTGATCCTACAGAGGAGTGGGAACAAGGAAGCATATGCTACTGGGCCCCACCGCATCTCTACACCTCCCAATAATTCACTCCCTTTGTGACGGGTCCCAGCTTGGCACAAGATCAGCCGTTGAGCAGAGTGAATCGTGACCGTTCCTAGAACCCAGAATCTCATTCCACATAACCGCCACGTAGCACGTGCAGATGATTCGATGCGAGTTGCGCTGGCGATCCCTCATTCCCAATCGAGGTGCACGTGTCCCGGGCATTTTTAAAAAGGGACGCACTGCCCGGGGTACACGGGCAGCTTTCGTGGGCCCAGGGGACAGGTACCTAGGAAAAGGGCCAGCGAGACCATGCATCAGGCGGGCCCCATCATTAATGCTTCTGTTTGGGAAGGTGGGGCCTACGTCTACTCAGCTCCAAGCCCGGCTGCATTTTATTTTCCCCATTATTACTCAATTCCTAGTTGGACAAAAATAATAGTAGTAATAATAAAACAAGTGGTCCAAGTCCTCTCCGGAAGAATCGTGAACCGCCCACACAATTTCCCCATTTTATATTATGAAAATCAAAATAATTGCGGACTCTATATTGTCCCGCCATAATTGCTAATCAGTCCTCCCAATGATTTTATTTTCCCATCTCGTCTGTTATTTCCCATAAACTTGAAAAATATTATCATCACCAATGATCATTATTCACTTAATTTTGTGGGTTCGCTGTCAATCAAATCAGATGCGAAAACAAAGGAAGGGCAGCTGATTTGCATAAGAATTGCGACATAATCTATCGGCCAATATGCATGAATACAACCAAAGACGGCACGAAGGTAAACATTTGTTACATGTTTTACTTATGTGTACTTGAAAATGACATCCAAGACAACGTAATTAAATGTGTTCTTTTTTAATCAACAAATGCCATCCGAGGCGATCTATGGACCGTTTAAGAGTTGAGTTCAATGAATCATAATAAATGAAACTAACGAAGTGAAACTCATTGGCAACTTAATGGAGCAATGAGGTTAACTAAACCTGGAATAGTAAGCAATTAATGAAAAGCAGCATCTCAAAGCCAAACGATTATTGCATACCACTTGGTAAAATGAAAATTACATATCAATTTATTTCCATGGCCAAGTGTCCAAGAAAAGATAATACAAGCAATTTAAAAAAAAAAAAGAGAATTCATGGGGTGTACAGTGTACTAGAAATACCCACACACGGAGGACTCAACTGAAAACCACGCAAAAAAAATATTGAATTTTATTCTTAGTCATAAATTATTACCACTAAAAAATAAATATCAAATACTAACTTTTAGGGGAATTGAAATAGCGTAACACAGGAGCGCATCATAAATCACTTAATACTCCACTGAAAGTATAACACGTGTAATTAAAGATGGGATGTAGGTTTTATATAATGGAGCGTGTAGTACTTGATTGCCCCAAGTCAAAGCTTTCCCTTTTAAAAAGTCTCGAGGCCCCGTATCCTTTAAATATAGCAACCAAGCTTGAAGCCTTGAACTGCTTCTACCTCTCTGTTCTTCTCACAGGCACAGCCATTCTTCCTTCTCGAACTGCAAATTTGCAGCTTCGTCCATTCTTTTCTTTTCTCTTTGTATTGTTTTGTTACAAATCAATCGGTGCCAGTGAATCATGTCGGGTTATTATTATTATTATTACTCCGGCTGCCAAGATCAGTGCGATGCCCATTACCTCGATGCATGCTCTCTTTGCCGAAAATCGCTCCATAATTCCGATATTTTCATGTACAGGTTAGTCGATGATGATCGTTTTTTTTTATTCATTGAATCGTGTTTGGATTTGAGATTTTAGTTAAAATGGAAGATTTTGATTTTGATTTTTTTTGTCAGAGGGAATACACCGTTTTGCAGCAAAGAGTGCAGAGAAGAACAGATTGAGATCGATGAAGCGAGAGAGAAGAACCGGAGATCCGGTAGATCTCTAAGGAAATCAGACGCACAGAACTCTGCCACTAACAAAACTGTACGGACCGGCACAGTTGCTGTGGCCTAATCCAGTAATGTTGTGTCAATTTTGAGTAAACAAAACAAAGTAAAGAACTTTGAGAGAATTTTGTATTTAATTTTCCTTTTCTTCTTCTTCTGGGGTTTGATGGTTGAGGGTTTGGATGTTTATAAAGGGGGGAATGGCATCGGATAAATAAATATCATCGTTCTACCGATAACAAAAATTCATATTTTACAGTGATTAGTATAACTGGCTAGGCCATTATACTACACTAATGAAGGGCTGGCACTTTAGCCCTATGCAACATCGTCAATCTCCTTCTACTTGCACCTTCTACATGCTCTCCCAATTTCGCTAGGTGCCATCCGCCTCTTCCATGGTTCCGATACTCCGTTATTCGGGTTATTCGAGTGCTCGTCTCTTTCGTCCGCCTCGAGAGGAATCTCCATTTCCTCGGCGTTTACTTCCTCCGAAACTTGGATTATCTCCTTTAGTCTCTCCACCACCTCACTCATCCTGGGCCGCTGCTTCTGACTTTTTACTAAACAACTATCTGCTAACTTAGCGATTTCTCGAGCCGACCTGATCGAATACTGGTTTTCGAGTCGAGGATCCATTACTAAGCAGAACTTTTACTTTCAGCAGGGAATTGTTTCACCCAATCCAACAGTTTCTGCTCTGCTTTTGGACGCCCTCTTTCCAGGGATCGCCTTCCGGAAAGTATCTCGTATAATACCACCCCAAAACTCCATACATCGCTCTTATCGGTTAGATATCCGGTCTCGATGTAATCGGGAGCAGCATAACCGTATGTCCCGACGACCTGATCACGAGTAAGTAAACCTTGAAATCATCATGAACAAGCAATAGGAAGTTTCATGTTATTCAAACCACACAGAATGAAAAACACAAACCGCGGTCGAACCATGCGTCCGGCCAGCCATTGATCCCTCCCTTGCCAGCCCAAAATCCGAAAGTTTCGGGTTGAAATTCTCATCCAATAACACATTGGAGACTTTGAAGTCTCGGTATATGATCTTGCATTGTTATCAAACCATAGATTTAGATGCACATAATCTGAATATCACCCAAAAGAATGCATAGTTCGTTGTTTTAGAAACGAACCTGAACTTCTAAGCCCTCGTGCAGATATGCTAGTCCTTGTGCTGCTCCAATTATTATTTGTAATCTTGTTTTCCAGGACAGAGGTGGGAATACACGACGGAAAAGAATATCTTCTAAGCTCTTATTTTGCATAAATTCATACACCAGAAGACGCTGGATTCCTATTTCTCCATCGACAGCACAGTATCCGATCAGCTTGACGAGATTCGGGTGATCGACGACACCGAGGAATTGAACTTCCGCCACCCATTGCTTATGTCCCTATACGGATCACACACATCTATGAAGCCAAAGTCATAGCTACAACCTTGCATGAAACTTTTCCAGGTTTCCAAACAGAGCCAAAAGGCATAGTTGCAAACCGTTCTTGTTAAGCTTTTTAATAGCAACCACCAAAGGCTCATCTACTTTTCCATCAGCTGGCTTGACGGTACCTTCGTAGATGCTCCCGAAGCCGCCTTCGCCGATCTTAAGTTGCAGACTGAATTCACGAGTGGTTTGTTTAAGCTCCGAGAAAGTGAAGATACTCAAATTTGGAGCTTTTGCTTCGTACAACTCCGGTATGCTACTTGGAGAAGCAACTGTGCCTCATCATGAGGACTTTGTGATCCGGTCAGGCCCCGAAAATAACTCCAATCTCCTTTCCCGTTTCAACTCAGGGGTTGATCATTGCCCCTTGCTTCTAGACTTGTCCTTGAAATAGTGGAAACACTTTGCCGGATGTTTAAAAGAGCTCAAACAAAAACAAAAAGAACTGCAAAACAACAGCATATCGATCAATAAACTTAAATGTCAAAAAACAATGAAAAGTAGAATCACCGAAGAAAGATGATTAACAATGGCAAACAAAATACTAATATGGCTTTAAATTTTATTTTTATGATATTTTTCTTTTTCCGATTTAATCTCTTAACTTTATATGGTTTAATTTTTTCTTCAATTTCTCTCATTTTATGTCTAATTTTGATCAAATTCAATTAGCATGTTTCTATACTATTATAAAATACCAATGTAACTTCAGTTCCTCTTTATGATAACATTTTTTTTTATAATTTAGTCTCTCAACTTTACATCTTAATTAATTTGATCATCCAATAATAAATTTTTGTAATTTTTTCTCAATAATTCTTTGGCTTCCTTATACTCTCACATATGTCTTATCCCCAATATAGATATATTATATAGCTTAGATAATAGTTAATTTATTGAATAACATTACAAATTACACTTGTGAAAAAAATATGAAGATATATAAATAGCATATTGATTATAAATAATTATTAAATTAAAATAAATCAATACTATAATTTTACTTCGGATAAATGTCAATTATAGTCTACAAGGCCGAATCCTTGTAACTTGTTTTTCTTTCCAATAAATCGATAATCCAAAATCAATCTTTGGAATTCATAACCACGATTATTGTCACCAGCATCAATACAATTTAAGTTTTACTATCGTCGTCAGTACCAATATAGTTCATTCTATCCTTCCCTTATTTTCAATTTATTTTGATCAAATTTATTAGGAGTTTTTTTTAATCCCTTTATCAATATTTAATTCTACCTACATTTTACCACCAAGCGCACAATTTAGAAGATCTCACAACTTCATCTTCACCAAATAATCTTCAATGGCGTTCGTTTCTTTTAGAAGAACTTTGAACACAACAGTCCCACCTTGAGGAATAAGAGAGTCAATCTCCTTGAGCATACCCCCCACAGCTTCCTGGGTCTGAACTCATGATCCTCTATCCATTTAACTGCCGTGGCCGAGTCGGATTCAATAATCAACAGAGCTTTTCCCTTCCTTTCAGCCTTTCATCAAGCTCACCAGTGCATATTTAATGGCCTGTAACTCATTTGTGTCTTTATTTTGGATGCCTACCAAGGTAAAAACATATCAGATGTTATTTGGGTTGCTAACATATTATATTATGACACCGGAACTAGGGTGATCTTTCTTACTTCCCACTTCAACGTGTGGCATCTACCTCTTCAAAGATTCTGACATTGTTTGAGACCAATAGTTTCCTCAACAAAATCATCACAACCTGTAATAACTACATCATCAACATAAACACATCAAGTACCATCACGTTCAATAGAAAACAACACATCAGCTTGAGTACCAACAAACCCATGACTAAAAAAGAAATCAAGAAGCTTTACATACCAATTTCGAGGTGCCTGCTTCAACCTATAGATTGTCTTTTGCAATTTACAGGCAAGATGTTCGCCATTGACAGACTCTTGTTCTAACCCTGGTGGTTGAATCATAAAAGCATCATCAGACAAATCACCATTAAGAAATGCATTATTAACTTCCACTTATTTTGAACAGCTAAGGCTAATACAACATGCACCGTTGAAGCCTTCACAACCGGACTAAACGTATCACGAAAATCATGACCCAAACTTGAGTAAACCCCTTTGCTGCTAAACGCGCCTTATAACGAGCTACAGAACCATCTGAATTTTTCTTAATTCGGAACAACCACTTACAACCAATTACAGTTTTATTTTCAGGTAACGGTAAGACCTTTCACGTACCATTTTTTAGAAGAGCATCATACTCCTCTAAAACCTGTTTCCATTTAGGAGACGCCAAAGCTTGTCGAATAGTCACTGGTTCAACATCCATTCTACTCTCTTCAATTGTATGAAAAGCACGTGGTTTAAACACCCCTGCCTTGCCACAAGTCACCATAGGGTGATTATTGACCACCACATTCGAATGTAATGGCAGCGAATCAATTGCACTAGACCCAAGCAAATGACCACTCTCACGAACAGAGTCGGGCGAGGCCGGCTGCACTAAAGTACCACCTTGCGCATTACTCATAGCATCATCGCCAGTTTCAGTTTCATTCACCAATGGTGTAGACAAAGCACCATGATCACATGGCAAAGTGTCAATGCGTGTGTCAGCATCATCCCTTGCTGATTCACCAACAGAAATAACACCACTAGACTCCCCAAAAATCAAAGGAGCAACCACTCCCTCAGACCCAGCCACGTCACCCAACGACCCCTCACACAAAGGTAAAGATTGAAGCAAGTCCACTGCCCCAGGCACAACAAAAATATCTGAATTAAAATATGTAGGCGGACCCGAATTAGAGTTCATATCACCAACCGTAGCAAATGAAAAAACTAACTCATCAAAAACAACATGACGAGACAAATACACAGGACCATCCTTCGTTAAACAAAAATACCCCTTGTGATCCGAACTACAGCCAATAAAAGTACACAATTCCGAACGAATGAAAAATAACGCTCGTACGACCGTTTCACTCTCAATATTAATCCGGGATACGACTCGTATATTTACGATCCGGATTAAATATTAAAATTTAATGCTAACATTTATTTTATTTCTCTTTATTTTTTTGTTTAATTTTATGCATTTTTAAATTCTACCCTTTACTTTTTATTTATTTAATTTCAATAATTTAATTTCATTATTTTAATTTACTATTTTATTTATTTAGTATTTATTTTTACCCTTCTTTTTAGTACTTTAATTTTAGTCCCTTTTTTATATTTTAATTGTATTTAATATTTGTATCCTTTTAATTTAGTCCTTGATGGATCACATTTTTAGATTTAGTCCATAATCTTTTATTATTCGATTCATATTTAGTCATTAAATTAAGAGAATTCTAATTTGCTCATCGCTTTTGCTTGATGTTCCAATTTAATTATTCGAATTACAATATTGATTAAAATTAATTTAAGTTAATGTTAGAAACTCTACTTTAGTTAAATTTCAATCTAGCTCTTTTAATTTAGGGAATAATTCGAGTTGGCCTTGGCCTAAATGCTCAAGGGACTATCTCAATTATTCGATTCGATAATTGATTAAAATAAAATAGGAATAATATTAGAGCATACTTTTTTAGCTTTACGCCTTTAGGTTCTTTAATTTTCATAATTTTACACTTTAAGTTAGAAAAAGTCTTAATCTATCCTTAGTTTAATTAGGATTAATAAAAATTTTATTTGATTGCATTTTATTTTAAAATTTAAGGCAATGTTCACTTATTAGGGGTTCGATAGTATATCTCCCGCAAGTATGCTCAAGGGGTGACTACTGGTGATTCCCGAAATAGGTCGACATCCTTTTTAAGACCGCATCACGATTTCTAAAATTAAGACAATGTTCGGTTATTTGACACAATAGTTGATCTCCCGCATTCATGCTAGGGGGTGAATGCTATTGGCTTTAATAAATGAATATTCTTTTCAACTTTGCATCCGTAATGATTTTTAAATTAAATGAAATTCGAACTCAAAATTTTCAATTTTAAATATAGGGTATCAACTAGGTACCACTTTTTGGGCACTTGTAGGGGGTGTTAATCCTTCCCCACACGTAACCGACTCTCGAACCTGATTTCTGGATTTTCGCATACCCTAAAACCTAGTATTTTGATAAAAATAATTTTTTTATTAAAATCACACTGTTTTTATGATGTTCCAATTGCACCTTAAATGATTGATGGCGACTCCTCACATGTCAAAACATTTTCAAATAAAAATCTCTAAGTCAGTACTTGTTTTCCCTCGCCTGGACGAAAAACGGCGTTGACAATCCTAAAAGTCCCTCTTTGTGAATATGAAGAATTGAAGAAGTAATTGCATTAGTACAAAGATTTTAGGGTAAACTACACACATAGTATTAAAAATATCAATTTTGGTCCGTTTTAATATCTAAATTTTTAATTTTTTTAAAATCATGCCTAACGTTTAGTTTTCATTTCATTTTAATACCCGTAGTTAAAAACTTAACGCATTTAGTACTTAATATATCAGTTTTGGCCCGTTTTAATACCTAAGTTCTTAATCTTTCCAAAACTTAACGTTAGCTTTTAAATTGAGTACTAAAATGAAACAAAAACTAAACTTTAGGTATGATTTTGAAAAAAAATAAAAGTTTAAGTACCAAAAAAACTAAAACTAATAATTTAAGTACTAAACGTGTAATTTATCTAAGATTTTATTTGGTTAAATATCTTAGAGTTCTTTTTTTTAATCATTAAAATTTAAAATGTTATATTTTAAAAACTCTTTAAAATAATAAATAATCATTAGATAATTAGTTAGACAATTAGCAATCATCTATCTATTTTTACTTGTTTAATGGTCCTAAATCTGTGTAAAACTAAAAAGTTTTATATTGTGTAAGTGGATCTTAACTCCCATATATATATATATATATATAGGGATGTACAAGAGTTGAGTCGAGCTCGACTATTATTGAACTTGACTTAATTCAAGAAGTTTTAAAGATGAACTCGACTCAAATTGAAAACTTGCGAGTTCAAAATAATTAATCTCAACTCGAACCCAAAATAAAAAATTGAAACTCAACTGGAGTTTAAAAAATTCGAACTCAAAAAATTCTCAGACTCATTAAAACTCGAGTTAAATTCAAGTTCGAGTCGAACTCATTCAAATTGAGTATTGATCGAACTTTGATCAAGTCGAACTCAAGTTACTTGTGGTCTATCCCATCTCATTTATAAGTTAATCCGTCGGTGAACATTCCGGTTCGATCCTAGACATTGGTTCTACTGATATTGCTTAATCCTATTTCGTGTGCCTTGAAATCACGGTTCGTACACCTCTGATTTTACCAAAGAAGCATTTGATAATACTTCAATTATTCTATATATGATTTTAATCCATACAAGTATAGATAGATACTCTGTTTCAATCACTTTTCATATCATATTCGAATACTATTACTACCTATATTTTACCACCAAGCACACACTTGGAAGATCTTACAACTTCATCTTTCACCAAACAATCTTCAATGGGATTCGCTTGTTTTATAAGAATTTTGAAAACAACAGTCCCGGCTTGAGAAATAAGAGAGTCGATCTCCATGAGCATACCGCACAGCTTCCTGGGTCTGGACTCATGATCCTCTATCCATTTAACTGCAGTAGCTGAGTCTGATTCAATAATCAATAGAGCTTTCCCCTTCCTTTCAGTTTTTAACAAGCTCTCCAATGAATATTTAATGGCTCGTAACTCATTTGTGTCTTCAACTCTTTCTCTTTCCATTGCAACGTAAGTCCTCAGCGGCTTCAAAGATACCGGCACTGTTGCAGCTGTTTCTATTTCAGATGCCACAGGATGATTCCTCATTTTCTCGGTGCCTCCTTCCTCTGGAACTTGGATTATGTGCTTCAATCTTTTCACCACCTCACTCATCTTGGGCCGATCCTCGGGACTTCTTGATAAACAAGTATCTGCCAACTTACCAATTTCACGAGCTGCACCAATGGAATACTGATTTTCAAGTCGAGGATCCATTATAAATCCAAACCTTTTACGGCTAGCACGGAACCGTTTCACCCATTCCAATAGCTTCCGCTCAGACGCTGGGCGGCTTCTTTCTATGGCCCGCCTGCCTGAAAGTATCCCATATAACAACACACCAAAACTCCATACATCACTCTTATATGATACATGTCCGGTCAATATGTATTCAGGAGCAGCATAACCAAAAGTCTCCATAATCTAATCAAAAGTAATAAAACTTTGTTATTATCATGCTAAACAACAGCATAAAAGCATGTATCATGTTACCCTAACCACGGAATAAAAATACTAACTTTTGTTGAAAGATGCGTAAACCCAGCCATTGGCCCCTCCCTTGCCAACCCGAAGTCCGAAAGCTTTGGATTGAACTTCTCATCCAATAACACATCGGAGGGATTGAAACTTCGATATATGACCTATTGCATTATTATCAAACCATGGATTTAGAAACCAGTCTGTTGAGCAACAAAAAATTACATAGTCAGTGTTTTAGAAAAGAACCTGGACTTCGGAACCCTCGTGCAGGTATGCTAATGCTTGTGCCGCTCCAAGTATTATTCGTAATCTAGTTTTCCAAGAAAGAGGTGGGAAGTCGTGATTGAAAAGATGATCTGCTAAGCTCTTATTTTGCATAAACTCGTGCACCAAAAGACGATGGAAGCCTCTTTCTCCATCGACAACACAGCATCCAATGAGTTTGATGACATTCGGATGCTCGAGAACTGGGAGAAAATGAACTTCCGCCAACCATTCCCAATTTCCCTATATGGATCAGACATAAGTCATATCTCAGTTACCATTCAAGAAAGATCGGATATAAGGGTGGGTGGTAGTATATACATAGTACTAATCTGTAGTTACAGTAGCTATTGCGGATGTTACTTGATTTTTGGTCAATAAGCTTTTTTGTCAAAATGGCAAAAGAAAACTGTTGTTAACCTACCTATTACCTGCATAAGTAATATCAAACTCCAGCATGAAATGATCACGAGAAAAGCTTTAAGTAATATAGTGGGAAGTGAATTTTTCGAGCAGGTAGAGTGGGGAAAAAACGAACTTCTCTATGTTCCCAAACAAAGCAAAAGGGCATACCTGAAGACCTTTCTCTTTAAGGTTCTTAATAGCTACCACTAAAGGCTCTCCCTTCCCATCAGCAGGCTTGATTGTACCTTTGTAGACGCTCCCATAGACTCCTTCGCCAATCTTAAGTCGCGGATTGAAATTACGGGTGGCTTCTTTAAGCTCAGAGAAAGAGAAGACCCTCAAACTGTGTGCTTTTGCTGAGGTCAATCTCCGTGGAGGCTCTGCTAGGAATGATGACTTTATGGTCCGATCAGTCCCTGAATATCCCTTGGATGTTCTTTCTTCTTTCGAATCTGGGGCTGATCTTTGCCCCTTGCTTCTAAACTTGTCCTTGAAATAGCGAAAGCACTTCATTGCGGGATAGCGAAAGAGATAGAAGATGTTCTCCTACTACCAAAAAAAATTCAATATAATAATAATAATAATAGTATTATCAACACACTTAAATGACATAAAACAATGGAAAGTTGAAGCAGGAGCACTAGGAACTCGATGATGAGATTCCAAACCAGCGGGCAATGGAAAAAAGGCAAAGAAAATACCGTCAACTCTACAGAGAGAAATATGTAAACGTAAAGCAAGAAGACTAAAGCCGAGAAAAATCAATAATTCATTGTCAAAAGAGTTTGCACAAAATCCCGTTTCTTTCATCATCCCCATTCATGCTTTCCCCATAGATTCTCTAATCTTTCAAAAGCTACGGACCATCAAATTGAACAGCATAAACCCCCGCCAATTATAACCCTTAATTCCTAAAATCTCTTGAACAATTCCTCGTTGAGGCTCAAAATATCTATTTTACCCTATGTGATCGACGACACCCCCAACATTTTACCATATGAATTAAATTGCGGACGAAATATAGTATAACGATTGTATCATAAATTTTTTTCTAAATCAATGTGATATTGATATCGTAAACTACATCTGCAACATAAAACATAGTTTTAAAAAATGAATAATATTGTAACATTTGCAACCACAACTGTAATTTTGTACTACGAATCTCCACTATGTCACATTGATACATGCATAAATAACAATATCACATTAATAATTTGATACATGCATAAATATTGTAACATTTGCAACCACAATTGTAACTTAGTACTACGCATTTCCACTATATCACATTGATACATGCATAAATAAGAGGGATAAAACTAACTATTTTGAATAAAAATAGATAAATTACGTCTGGCATCACTGAATTTTGGATAGAATATTGTTTATACCACTAAATTTCTAATTTCACCAATTATAATAATGAATTTATTTTTCATGTTTCAATTATACTATTGAGTCGTTAAATTGTTAATAGTACCTAACATGACTGGCGATTAATGATATGATTTTATTTTACATCAAAATGATGTCATTTGGTACAACTATTTTAATGTCCATAGAGGATCATAACAATATCATGTTGTTAGAAACATTTAATAAAAAATACATTTTTCCTAGCTAATTTAAAAGTGTATTATATTTTTAACAAAATTAATATTAATTTGACGCGGCTGTCACATCAAATAATTTTAATAAAATGATATTATTTGATACGACAACCACATCATTATATTGTTATCGATTTAATTGTCTAGAGATATAATTGAAACTAAAATAAAAGTTAAATAGTTTACTTTTAAATATAATAATATTATTATTATCATGATTGAGAATAATATTTAGAATATATAATATTTTATAATCATTTTAATTTAATAAAAATATATTATTATTATTATCATCATCATCAGTTTATCACTTGTTACTCTTATGAGTCGGGTAACGTGTGGTCCATATTAGTTTGGCGTTGGGATCGGGTTCTAGGGTAAATAATTTTAAGCGTATATATTGTCGATACTTCCTTTCCATTCGATTCGCCGCGCATCGTCGCTTTGCGAGTGGGATTTCATTTCTTTTTTTTTACTCCGCGTATCTACAGACAGGGGTGGGAATAGGTCAGGCCAGGCCAGCTTTAAAAAGGCCTGAGTCTGGCCTACGTTAAATATTTTAGGCTTGAGCCTGGCCTGTAGCCTATCACAGCCTTTTATTTTTAACTTGGCCTGTCTTTTTTAAAAGCCTGGCCTTGATAGGCCTGATAGCCTTTTTAAAAACATGTTTCACATTAAACACCAATTTTTATCCCCATACCTACACAGTACTCAAGGTCAACACCATACATTGTTGTTCCCGACGCCTACACCCATCAAATGCTGTTGCCGCCCATACTCTGTCCATACTCCACTTTTGTTGTTATTTCTCTTTGTTTGTAATAGATATATAACTAAAAAAACAAATAAAGCAATGATGAGGGATCCGCTCGTGAGAGATAATTGGAGGGGGAGAGATTGAATAAGTTTTAAGGTTATATATTAGATTTAGGGTTAATTATCTTTTAGACCCTATAATTTAACTAAATATTTTCAATTTAGTCATTAATTTTAGAATAAAATCCCTATTAAGTCACTCTAACTTAGGCGCATTTTATAAAGTAGACACCATTATGATAAGTATATATATATATATATATATATATAGGTCGGCCTATCAGTCTTATAAAGTTTTTTTAATAAACCTAAGTCTAGTCTATTTAATTTAATTGATTTTTAAAAAAACTTGAACATAGTATTTTTATTAAATAGATCAAGTCAGACCAAATTTTATGTAGACAATATAATAGGCCCTGTAGATCAATCTGGCCTATTTCAACCCCTATCTACAGAGTTTCCAAAATGGTGCGATTTTCTTTAGCTGAATTTGTATTGCTTCCGATTATTTCCCAAATTTACCACAGAAAGTTCTTATTTGTAAAATGAATCAACTAATTGTTTTATTGCGATACATTTTTTTTCTTTGGGAAGATATATGGTGGGGCCCTTCATTTATTGGGTTATTGATTGAGGATGTACATTTTCAACGTACCATACAAGCAATCATTATGAGAGAAATACAAATTGTTAGGAGCTTTTGATAACATTTGGTCTAATGGCCTTAAATGGTGTCACAAAACCAATCATTTCGAAAGAAACACAAACTATTGGGACCTTTGATCTGGTTTGATCTAATGGTCTTAGATGGTGCCTCGCCATTAATCTTTGTGAAACAAACACAACTTTGCTTGAAGAGGATTCCAACCGCCGGATGTCTCGCTGGCGCGTGGAATTCGCTGGCGCGTGAATTCCACGCGCCAGCCGCTGGTCCGTTTGGGTTTGATCATAACCAGAACGTGATGTCCACGCGCCGCTCGCCACTCGTCGTTTGCAGTTCACCGGAAAAATCATCAAAACTGGATTTATAATCTGGTATGCCCAATTATTGCGATACATCGAACTTGTTAATTATCTATTATCTTTCGTATGCCCAATTTGGTACCTGATGTTAATTCTTCACTTCTTCAATTTTATGCAGACAAAGAGGACGAAGAAGGCCGGTATTGTCGGGAAGTATGGTATGTGCACTGTTCCTTTCGATTTATAATTTGTTTTTGTTAGATGAAGAACGAACCATATGTGGACTAATCTGTTGTGTTGTAGAGTTGAAATGCCATTAGAATTTACAGAATGAGAAATGTTAATACTGTTAATAGAGGTCCAATAGCTTATTTGCTTAATTCCAAATTTTACTTGCATGGTGTGGCTGAAAACTGGATTGTTGGATGTTATGGCTGTGGATTAGCGCATCTAGAATGTCGATAACATTTTTTTTTGTAAATTTCTGGTACCTGTTACGGTGCGAGTCTGCGTAAGCAGATTAAGAAGATGGAGGTCAGTCGGCATAGCAAGTACTTCTGCGAGTTATGCGGAAAGGTAGCTTTCTCCGCTCGGTTTCCTACATGTTTGAGATCATTTGGTTGCTTATGTAATGTAACATGAATCAATGCAGTATGCGGTGAAGAGGAAAGCTGTTGGCATTTGGGGATGCAATGACTGCGGCAAAGTGAAAGCTGGAGGTGCTTACACTGAAGCAAGTTTGTATGGCCTTTTTGCGAGCATATTTGCTTGAATTGCTGTTTATCCATCTAATTACATTTCATTGTTTTCGTTTGGATGCAGCACTGCAAGTGCTGCGACTGTCAGGAGTACTATTCGGAGGCTTAGAGAGCAGACCGAGAGTTGATTTGATTCTGTCTTTTTCCCTCTTGATATATGGAACTTAACCGTAGTGTTTCATGAACGTGTTTTTAACCTTTTTGGGTATTTTTATCTCTCGACTCAATTGAAGCAGTTTTGGTGTTGAAGATGGTTACGTATATTGCAGCATTCTTTTATGGGGTGCTGTTTTCCTTGCCTCGGTCGAGTTAGTAACCTCTGAAGGTTGCATGAATTCTGTTTATGGCTCGCCGTGTGATTGCCGACCATCACCGTGCAAATTAGTTATTATTCTCTTTGTAGCATTGAAGAATGTCGGCTCAAGTAGGGGAAATGGAGGTTGGGAAAAAATTGAGGGTTTAGGGATGATGTTGGTCTAATTGGCGAAAAAGGGACGTTTCTTCGGTGCATGTAAAGTGGTCGGCAGCTGAATCTTTGGCAAAGGTGTGGACAACTTTCCTTATTTTCTTTATGTTTTTTTAGGAATAAATTAAAAAAAATTAAAAGTACATGGACTAAAACAAAATTAAGAAAGGTGCACGCTTGTTTATGAAAAAAGAAATTAGTCTTCTACTTTTTTTTCATTACAATTTGGTATAAAATGTGGGGGTGGGGGGGGGGGAACGATACCTTCAAATTATTCACGTTTGCCAAAGATTGTCAAAGTTTCTCATTTATCAACAATTTTATTGATATATGTAGAAATATCTTTATTTTCTTTATTAGTTGAAAATCATCCCTAAATATTGTCGAAGCTTTGTTACCCACTATGAAGTCAAACTGTTCCTCCCCATCCGTTCAAAGATAAGAAGGATCAAGCCAGTAGAGGTACACCTTATCCATATTCATCATGGTCGATGGGTGATAGAACCACGTAGGTGACCGAAGTGGATAATGCTTGATTGGTGTACCTTTCTATATCTGTCCCAAAATTGTTCTGATTATACCATCCAAACAGGCGAGTAAATGCCTCGGTGGAAATGCCAAACATATAATTAATTTGAGTACCTCTCTTGTTTTAGATGGTTTCAAAATCAAGCACATATACAACCTAGTTTTTTTTTTTAAATAATAATTGATTAGTTACCTAATTCGTCTCAAAACGAAACGAAACATGCAAGATTTAATGCATTGCAACAAACAATCAAGTTCACAACAAACATTGACTGGCTGGATGAGGCTTCACCTGCCTTTCCTACTACCACCTACATATTATCACATAATATCTACAAAGCTGCACCCACACAGGAAAAGCAGCAGCTATTTTATCTGATGGTGCCATCACCATCATTCCATCCCCTTTCTCTGCTAGGAAATTCTTCGTAGGACGTACATAATAATATCTACTTTTTCAAGAAAAAAAATATATATATTGAAAGGATTGAATACTATTTAGACGTCTCCTTTCCCATGCCATGGAATACGCAGGCATGACAAATTACAGCCTCTTGATGAAAGATCGAGGACCGTAACAAGATAGTAGTATCGAATATAAACCTATTTTTAAAAGTAAGTCCCATAAGCCACCGTTCTCGAGGCTATCTCAATTCTCATGTGTTTTAGAAGGTTATTAATGAGCCGTTGACATCATAGAGATGGGAATGTTGTCACTGTTATTATTATGATGCATTTGCTTTTGAACTGCTTTAACTGCTATTACTCTTGCTGCATTTGCTGCTCTATTAGCTGCAGCTACTGCCTTGTTCACTCTCTCGTCTACCTTGGCCACATCATAAGCTTTCTCTGCTGCCCTTCGAGCCTCCTGCTCATAAAACCAATAAATCAATAAAATTAGTCTTGATGAGATTTCATAGCTTTCGTTGATTCGTGCTATCACATAAAAACAATTATTACTGTAGCTTTGCTAGGTATTAACGATGGAAAAGTGTGAGGACAGAGAAACTGTTAATCCAACGATCATGGTACAGAGTACAAAGTAGTTATGGATTTTAATCATTCGATTAACAAAATTTCCATCCTCACAGTTATTTATCTTTCATGCCACAAAACAAGCCTCTGATAAATCTTAAAAGGTATTAGGACTCTCCTGGATAAATTTTACATAGTTGTGAAACTCAGATTCCTCTCATTACTTTCGAATTGCTAAAAGAGGTTCATCAATATCTAAATGTAGATTGCCACCCTGGTATTTCACATAGGATGATCATATTTAATATAAAAAATCACACAAGACGACGCAATTGTTTTTTTCCCTGCCATGCCAAATTAAACAAGCTGAGAAGACCATAACATGAGACCATCCAAATGAATGATAGGCAAAGTGGAAAAATATCACCTACCACACCAAATACCTCTTCACTGATATTTTAAAAGGATTAAAAGTCAAAATTAGAAAAAGCTTATGTACCTGCACCGCATTTAGTACTTTTGAGTGGTAAACAGCTACAGGTGACACAGGATATGTGGAGCTCTGTGTGCTTGGGACATTGAGAATTCCATTTTGCCAATGACCAGATTGTGTTTCCCCATTTCTGAACGTATACATTCCAAGCCCTTGTCGCCTACCCTCATGCCAAGCACCCTCATAGCGATGGCCATTTGCAAAACGATAGACGCCGAACCCATGCATCTTGTCCGCAAAATATTCCCCAGCATATGTATCTCCATTCCTAAGTAAGAAAATCAAAGCATTCAAAACCACAATTAGTAAAAGACAATACCATCATCATTAATCAGATAGCTAATAAATTCTCTGGAACTAAAAGGCAACCCTCACATTGCAAGATTCATGTAAACATAATATTACTACACTTTCAATACATTGCTTGATCTTCATTTAAACCAATTTCTAATTCTACACACTAATACATCCCCAAAAATTAATAGTACAACAAAGCATTTGTGAAAACATCAAACAGTAAATAGTCGGACACCGAGAAACTAAGCAAAATAAGAGTATATCTCAAAACCACCAACTACAAACTCGAAAATTATTCGTAGCATACACCTGAAATGAAGTAAAACAAGAACAAACCAATCTTTATCTTACCTAAAATGGTAATGTCCGAGTCCATGCTTGACTCCCCATTTGAATTCCCCGACATATCGACTTCCATCCTCACAGGTATGAATCCCACAGCCATGCCCCTGCCCATTAGACCACTCTCCTGCATAAACATCTCCTGTATAGAACCTATAAACCCCAAATCCATGCCTAAGACCCAGCTGGTACTGACCACGATAACGGCTTCCTCGAGCCCACGTTTCAACCCCGTAGCCATCATACTTCCCATCCACCCAATCCCCCTCGTACCGTCCACTCATGTAATAATAATAAACACCGCTCCCTGAACACTTCCCCTTATGAAACTCTCCTTCATAAACGTCTCCATTGCTATAAACTTGAACCCAACACCCCGAGTTTGCTCGCTTTTCAGATTTCGACCGAGAACCAATTGACCAAAATACTGGCAAATGAGACCTTGAGAGTGGAGACGGTGACTTGAGCTTAATAGGAAAAGAACGTGCTAAGAACAAGCGAATAGAAGGAAGGCGAGGGAGAGCGAGGTTAAGGGAGAAAAGAAGAGCAGCGGAGAAAGCGAAAGCGGATAGGAAGTTGAGTAAAAAGGAGTGGCTTGGATGCGAAACTAAGAAGTAGAAAAAAGGGAGAGATAGGAGGAGGATTAAGCGTAAATGAACTCGGAGAAGACGCAAGTTCTTGAAACGACGGAGAATTCGATAAACGTAAGATTTAGCAGCAATGGAAAAGGAGAAAAAAGAAGTGGTGTTTGGGGAACTGAAATGTGGGGGCGTCGTAAAACGGTACAAAGTTGGGGTTCTGGCGAGAGAAGGCGTCTGGGTCAAAAGGGGTCTCTTGTAAGGAGTCGAAGGGGACGAGGAAGGAGGCGCGGGCGCAATTGCGTCATCTTGCGGAGGGCTATGGATAACTATCTGAGGGAAAACGGAAATCGGCGTCGCCTTGGCCGCTGTCGTATCGGGAAATTGATTTAAACTGTGGTGGTAATTGAATTGTTGCAGCTGATGAGGCGGAAGATGGTGATGAACGGCTGCAGGCTTGGGGTTAAAATCGGAAGAGACGCCGCTGCTTTCTTTTCCGATCTGAACTTCCGATTTCTTCTGATGCATTAAATAAATGGAAAAATGAATTCCCCAAAATTGAACCCTTTTGCGTTTTGCTTTCTTTCGATGAAATGAAAATTTCTCAATTTTCCTTTTCCTGGGTTTTCCTCTGCCTTTGTTCGTGCGTGGAGGAGTAATTTTCTCTGTTCTTCAATCTAGAAAAAGCTTTTCTTGGAGGCAATATTTTCCTTTTCTTTTTGTGTAATATATAAAAAACCATTTTAAAGAGCGTGGAGTTTATGCTATTCAATTCAGCGATTCATTATAAACCGTCAGATCGGTCATCGCTCTCTTTTGCTTTTTTATCTCTGATTACCCTTTGAATTTTATTATTTTTACCCTTATTTTCCTTATTTTATTTCTTTTTCTGTTTATTTTGATAAGGATAATCATGAACATTTTCTTTTTTAATTTACACATCCTCAGAAATTCTATGTTTAAAAATATATAGCAATTACTTGTTTTATATATACTTTTAATAGTAGTTATATGATTAATATAAAATTATTTGATTCATTAATAATTTATTTTTAAAAGTTTCTTCCGTGTAATTTGTTAACAAATTATTTTTAAAATGTTAAATAGTGATTTAATCAAAGTTTTTTTAAGGACACAAAATATGTGGTATTTCGTTTCGGTACGAAACCAATCTTTAAATTGATTGAATCTTAGATTTGAGCAAATTGAATAATTTGAAGATATTTAAATCACGATGCCAAGAATTGTATTGGATTTTTTTATATATAAATAGAAATAATTAAGAAAATTATCCAAAAAACTGTTTTTTTTTCTTTCTTTCTGATTCTCGATTTCGTACCATCGATGCGCGCTTTCACTTGCGGAGAACGACAAAAGGACGGGACTTGTTCCAAAAGTGGCTGTTCAAATCTACCAATAATATAAATCCACGTGTCTATAATGATTTCGTACCTTTAGCCGCCATCACCAAAATCAGCGCCGTTTATATTCCCCTTCTCAGGTGTTTAATTACCTAAAAGGCCTCACGGTTTCCTTTCTTTTCAGTTTTCATTACTAGAAAGCAGGAGGAAATCGAAAAGCCCTTTTTGTCCCAACTAAAATGAAATTGGGCCCGATCCATGCACAGCTGTTTCTCTCTCTCTCTTTTTTCACAAACAGAAATTTCTTTTCATTTCTGATTAAACAATACTATTAATTAATCAGATATTAATACAGTTAAGACTATTTAATTTTTTAAAAATAAAAATTATGAAAAAATTATTTTTTATATAATACTTAAATAAAATAATTAAAAAAATCACTTAAAAAATCAGATATCAAAATGATGAATTGAGCATAAACTTGTTTATCATCCCATACATGGTATTATTGAATTAACTTTTATATATTTTTCGTAAAACTCTTTTGTCCATTCGCACATTGGATCTGATAAAATCTAATAAATATTAAATTTATTTTTAAGTGAAAAGTGTAATTGGGCTTTTGGATGACTATAAAATTTGGTAGACTACGTATAGGTTTGAACAATAAAATGCCCCTTTTTTTAATTTTTTTTTAATAAGAGCCGCTGTCTTTTGAAAATTTGAAGAAAAGGAAATATCAAACTAAAAGCTTTGAATTCCTCAATAGTCCAAGTACATTAGCTCCCCTTTTGGGACCCTATAAATAAAAGACATAAGTTTGGGACTCATTCGACAATGACATGCCTACTTATTGAAGGCAACAAGTACAATAGCTCCTCTTTTTCTCCAAGGTGTTTAATTAATGACAACATAACATGGTTGTCAAAAAGTTCATCCCACTTGCTCATAATCAAAGGTAGGGGAAAAGACATTACGTATAATAATGATATAATCAGGCCAAACTATGTTCTTCCTTGGATAATCATATGGATTTCAATTATATTTGGAGTAGAATCGGGTTGGATTTCAACGAGTATTGAGCTTTTTACCGGTAGACAAACAAACCTAGTCTTATCTTCAAGTTTTCATGTGTACTACTAAAAGTTTGAAGATAATTTCATCCGGTGTTTTAAACACTGATTGTTTAGTTACAATGACGAGTTAAGCTATCATCTAAGGCAAACTTATTGGGCTGTGTCCCTCCAATTTGCCTTTTGATTATGATCCTAGGCCTATGTACATAGAGGGAAGTTTCCAGGAAGCAGAAAGCAACCGCAGAAAGAGGGTGAATAGATTTCAAAAGCCAGATATGTTTACAAATGCTTTGTTCAGTTCATGAATTAATAAACTCTAGAGTAGATACATACATACATACATACATGAATACATATGATGAGCTCAACTAACAAGCCATAATTCATTTTTTAAAACATTTGACATACCTGATACCTATCCTCCTAGCAATTGTTATTTTTTATTTTGTACACTTCACCTCATATATTAGGGAATTCACTGCAGTGAAAGAAGCACCAGGGTAAGCGAGAATTGCCACCGTCCCACAACAGGAGATCTCAATTCAGCTTGCAGCTTGCAGTTGTTCCTGTATCACATCAGGGCTTATGGAGCTTGAAGCCAAAAACTCTAGGGACGTAGTTTTGTGTCGGCTTTTGTGGCTTTAGGTGTCCATACGTCATTAGAAATAGATGCGGAAATGTCGTTCCAAAATAAGCTCCATCGATATCTTGTTAATGTCAAGAAACTTAAGCACATCCATGATCTGGTAAAAGGAAGTAGAAAAAACCAACAAACCATACCAATGTTTGGTTCCGCCTACCCAAACAAGAAAGATATAAAACCCAGATACATTATTAAAGGGCATTTAAGAACATAAACTAGCTTCTCCCCAAAAATAGTTGTAAGAATGTGTTAGAAGGCCAAGATTTGATTTAGCTAGGATATAATTAACACGATGACAAATACGATCTACGTGATTCAATTATCTGTTGAAATTAGTTCATGTACAAGACGATAGCTAAAAAGACAAGTATGAATTATGATTAATTTCAGTAAGATGTAAGAAGAGATGTGCACCAGCTGTCACAAGTGTAATATAGTAGAGAAATTAAACTATGAAGTATTCTAGTTGTAAAAACTAAATTAAACTATGAAGTATTCTAGTTGTAAAAACTAGTAAATTTGTGGATGAAATAGAAAGGATACTGCCTTGATATTTGGATCGAGGATAATAAATATCTTCGCATTTTGGACAGTAGATTTTCACGGTACTTGAACGAGGGATATCTGACTGACCAACAGGAAGGCAATGTTGTCCAGAGCAGTAAACTCTTGGGCATCTCCCAAAATCATAGTTTTTGTATTTCTCCAACTGAAATAGGATTACAAGTAGAACTTTGTAAAACGGATATGAAAAAGCCAACAGAGAGTAAAAGAATGAACAGAATAAATTACAGAAATTTTACCATAGCAGACATTCCCTTGCTAGTTAATATGTAACGGACGTGTATAAGACCATACAACATCTCAGCTGCCGATTCAACCAATTCATTCTGTTCTTCAGTGAACATATCACCTATATAACCCAAAGATGTCTACTTAGTAGCAAGAATCAATGTGTATGGATGGCTGACGAGTTGATAGAACCAAAACTACAAAAGTAGGATAGTTTAAAAAAGAAACAAAACATGATATTCAAAGCAAACTGGAACACATCACAGGAATGATGCAAATAATCAATAAAAAACAGAAAAAAGCAGGTAAATATCAATAAAAACATTATAACTGCAAGCCACAGTCACAAATGCTGTATGAAATACAATCTTTGAAGAACTGCTGCAATAATATATTTCCTCAATTCACTTAGAGTAACATTTCTGATGTTAATGTTCAAAAGTAAATTTATTTATTTATTTATTTTTAAAAGAAACACATTGTATACGGTTGTGCATTCTTCCTACAGACTACTAAATTTATTTCTGGTGAGTTTCAGGGTTGACCAACATTCATCTGAAGGTGGGTCATAATTAACCAAACCAAACTCGGATGGCTCCCACAGAACTTTCACCTACCAATCTAAATTCTTTCCTGGCTGAACCTCCTGAATACCCAAAATAGATCATTTATGGACTAATGAATCAAAGAGGTAAAAACATCTGTCAAAGAGTAGTCTGAATTTGGAAAATAGTAGCAGCTCCAAGAGTGAATATCATATCAGTCAAAAAATCAAATATAGCAATACAAAAGGGCTTACCATGGGACGATTCGACATCCAATATTAAATCGAGCGCATAGTCATAATACGGAACTTGACTGCTCAACCCACAAAGATTAAAATTATCCTGTATGTAGTCATCATCAACCTCACAGAAAAACTCGTTGCCGCGCAAATTGCAAAACCACGATATCCAAGAAGTGTCCTCTCCATCAGAACCACTGACATCTGATTCTTCACTCTCTATTTCAGACTCCTCTGCAATCAAGGACAATACCAACGGATTACTGAGAAGTTCACATTTAATAGTTAAAAATCCAATGATAGCTTACAAGGACATGCAACAAAACATGAAGCGTACTATGGCATCAAATAAGAAAGAAATGAACAAATTTTTGGCAATGCATCAAATTTCCAAACATTCATATATGGAAACACAGGCATAATTTAATGAAACCTAAAAACAACCTACTTTGTAAATGCAAAAGATTGAGTACAAAACTGTGCTAACAATCATGTTTAACAATGGAATTACCATTTAAACACTTTTCACATGCAAATACGCAAACATATCAGCTCAGAGCTGCGGATGAACGCTCAAAAACCCAGATCAAATTCACTCGAAAAATAAGCGAATGCATCCTGGGCCTTAGCAAATACACGATTCGTTGCAGATTAATCAAGGAGAAATGAGGATAGAGAAGTGACAGATAAGTAACTAACCATCACATTTGGCTTTAGAGAGACCTGAATCGCGGTGATCAACCTGGAATTTACCAATGGAAGTTGAAGGAACACATGATCTTTCTTTTTCTTTTCTGCTGAAACCCCTCGAAGTGGATGGGGACGACTTCTCTAGATGCTTGTCCAGCGTATCGTTTAAGCGCTTCCGATCCAACACTCCTCCAACTAGCTCCGGTTTCGAAGACTCTCCTCCTCGATCCCTATGACCGTACATAGCTTCTTATTGTTAATATTCACCACCCAAATCCCGAGAGCTCCGAACTTTATTGCTGTCAATGGGACAAAACTTTTCGGAGGCGCATCTA